TAACATATGTTTTTTTCGGAATTTTTTGATTTTTTTTTTTTTTTTTTTTTTTTTTTTGTCCACGTTCGGCCCGAATGGCCGAACGCCTTCCGAAGGGGTCCCGTACGTTCGGGCGTTCGGGTTCGGGCGTTCGGCCCGTCCCGAACGCTGGCAACCCTGGTTGTGGTCATAAAGACGATGGGGTCAGACTGGTGGAGGTGGCAATATTATTCATGGTCAAATGGGGAGACCGTATATCATTGACACGAAGGGCATTAGCAATCAATACTTTCATCTTAGATACAAGTTTTTGACCTTCCAAGATGTGCAATTGTTGAATTTAAGGAGGTCTTTTTTTGCCTTCTTATAGATAATGAGCATTAAGACAATAAGTATATACGAAGTGTTACAAAAGTGGATAATTCATATTGCAGTAAAAGTAGGTCGAAGGCTCGACCATGTGAAATGCTAATGGGCAATGACGTCCTCTGAGTTCCCTTGGCAGACATGCAATGCTTAGCCCCATCATACCCCTCGTACATGCGAGTCTACTTGTTAGCGTTGTTAAGGAACTCTTGCTAGTTCAATTTATAAATCCTACAAAAACTGAAGGGATATCTCACCAGCCAATTGATGTGAGGATTTGTCGAAGGACCTCCTTGGGCTCATATTTATATTTGTATAGAGGGGCATATGTCTGACGAACTTGTCTCCCCCTCCTAGATGGCATGGAGTTAGAAGGCAACCAATCTTTGGTAACTGCAATATCTTTGGGGTGAATGACACCATGTTTCCCTCGGCGAGGACTCCTGCTGCTTGACGTGGGTAAAAAATGATATTTATTATTAAGTGATTTGTACGACCTTGGAAATAAGTCGTCGAAATCTGCGAAACAGATCAGGCAATTGGCGAAAAATATCAAACACGCGAACACCAAATTTACAAAAAGTAAGGAAGTTTTTTCATTACTTTGGGAATTAGCCCTTAAGAGGGTTGATAATAGTAGATAGGTATTGGATTATACTGAGTGCTTCGTGTCCTATCTTTATCACAATTTAGAAAGGATGACAGAGAGTGAGGGCGGGCTCAATGCTTTTCGAGCCTGCATAATAGCCTTTCAAATTTACGATTTGATATGTCGTCTTTGAAAGGAGTGCGACAACAGACAGGTCTTGATATCTAAAAGTAAGACCATGTTTCATTCCCTCGCAAAATATGTCAGCAAGAGAGATTCAATAAGATTTCTGACCATTTAAACCACTAGTACCTCCACGTTTCTAGGTCGTTAACACGATAACTTAATCGGTGTGCCTCGCCGGTTCATATGCATTTGCATCAGAGACTCCCTAAAGGGGGCCTAAGACCCCCTTGGGTACTGATGGTTTAAGTGCAGTTTTCAAGATCGATTTAACAAGCATCACATCATGTTGTTTCCTGGGGTCCAAGATCCCCAATCCTCCTTGGTTACGTGGGAGACATAACATTTTTCATGCGATTTTTAGATAAAGGAGTCTATATCTCATGCGTAAGGCTTCCACATAAACTCAATTGTTCCATATTTTATCAGACTTGTTTACCAAAACTCCTTACCGTTCTCAAAAACCATAGAAGAGCAAATAAAGAACCTTTAATTATCATCCATTTGCCGAACAATGACAAATGGGAGGCTCTGCCCGATGTGACAAACATGTGAGCCGACTTCTGAAGTAACAAGTCATTCTGATCGCCTTCTCATAACATGAGAGATATCTGAAGGCCTGAGAAACGTTCAAATTGTTCTTCATTCATTTTGCACATACCCCATTGTACAAACATGTGAAAATTTGGGACAAGAAAAAATACGGACGTATGCATGTTGAAAGAAGTCTCCGGATAAGGTTGAATATTCGCTAGGTATTATTTTAGTGTCCTTAAGGATACAACTGGATTTTTTGCTGCTACAAAGAGGTTGCCGAACAACACCTTGACCTCGTAATAGTTAGATCCTGTTAAAAAGTCGTCGATTATAGGGTTTTACCGGATGTTAGTTAAGAATACCTTCATTCGGATGATAAACAGGAAATGGTTCAGTGAGCACCACTGCCTCAAGAAGCGAGATAACAAAAATTTATTAGATATTTTGTCATTAACCATAACGCCGGGTACATCGTCACGTCCCATGTAGAGAAGACCTAGCCAAATCTCATTATCTTTATAGTAGTAACGACATAAGGCCTGTTGACTTAGTTATAGTTTTTTTTTAGATATAGTAGAAAGACTGCGTGGTGTAGTTCTTTATTATTTGTAATTTCCAACGTTTTTATTGTTGTCATGATGTTTGTAAATATTGTTTGTCCTCTCATGAATGTTTCTTAGTCATGTTGGAGTAATTCCAATACGTATTTCCCTAATCCCCTTGCTAGTATCTTAGCCCATAACTTTTACGAAACATTTAAAACTGCAATAGGTCTCAAATTTTGAAACTCATATTTGTCCTCCTTCTTAGATAGCACGAGATAACCCCTTTGCACATTCTTGTTGACAACTTCCTCCCGTAGACATGACAAATCATCATCACCTGGGGTCTTCCCTCTAGACATGGACTTCAAAACCTCAAACTCCTCCGTATCAGTGATAGAGCAGTTAAAATATAACAAAATCATAGTGAAAAATCTAACTGTGATGGAAGACCAATGACTGTTATTCAAGTGTACTTCACAATCAATCACAACTCATTGCAGGCGAAAAGTTATTATATAACTGCAGTATGTGGCTGCATAGTTGTAGAGGGTTTGCGGTTCCTACAGGACGATCTGAATCGAATGTGTGGTTGAGTTCCCTGATTGTGATAGTTGATCGTCCGGAAATGAGCTTTTGAAATGACTCCTTCGTCATACGATCGTATAATGATGTCGTTGTAATCCCTTTGACATGTAGTCCCTCATACTAAATTTCATGTTTTTTTTTCTTGATGTTGTCTCATTCAGACGTTAGCTTAACTTTTTTTTTTGTCCGAAACGAAATATGAAATTGCATGTTGAGACATTTTTGATGTAACATGTTCGATCTTCTTCCGCAAATGCACCTCCAATTTATTTCTTTGATATGCCATGATGCCTGAAAAAATTGACAACAAGTTCGAGAACATGTGTGAGCCCACTTTCCACCAATCTGTTGTAAATTAACACATAGATCGTGCATTATTCAAACTTTTAAAAAAAATCTTCATCTATTTGACGAGACCTTCGTCCTTCAAATTTAATGTGTTGAGTGGGAATAGGTCGCGTCCTTTTACAATATCATAAGTTAAAACTGTATGTATGACATGTTCATAATCTCATAGGGGGTGGGTCCATTCAAATATTTATATAACCTATTTTTATAAACTTTATGAAGTCAGAAAGTAATCTAACCTTTGTTTGATAATTCTTACATTTTTTTAGGATTGGAATATAATGTGAAACCGTTTTTGTTAGGATGAGATAAATGGTATATGTCCACCCGTTCTACAATATCCATAAAATTCATTAGTAATCCTTTATCTCTAAGACATTTTGAGTATTGAGAATAAGTGAAACATCTATTGATATATTTCAATTTGTTGCCAATATGACTCTGTTACCTCCCATAATTATGTACAACAAATCATGAAAGAATAAATTCTAAATTTTAAGGTAAATGGGATGTAGACAATAGCAATGATGTAGTATTGTTTATTTATTAGCAGTTTTAACCACGCCTACATGTCCGAGTAATAATCGACAATTTCGACATTCAAATTCTAGTGTACGATGATACCCATCCATCCTTTCAAACGAACAACAGGGGACCATATATGGGTACCATCCCATCATTTGCCAGGACGTTAATTTGATCTTTATTAAGTTTATAATTTAATTACCATTAGCCTAAGTATGAATCCATGACTTCAATCGTTTCTTCTTGAAGTTACCCGTCGAATCCCCAATACCCCCGAGGTTCAAACTCAACAATTTTACTTCACTCGTAGTCTACTGCAGCCACTTGCAAAAGGTTGGATATGGGAGGGGGAGGGGGAAGGGGAAGGAACGTTTGTGCCCCATGCACTCATTAGGTAAGAATGTGGAAATGAAGAACCCAACTTCTTATAATTAGGCAAATGCAACTGCAAATTCAACAGGCATTTCGCAATTGTTCAGTGGAGGGATGTTGATATGGCGCAGTTCCTGCCTTTTTTGGTTAACTAACCATGACAGTGGAATGAGTTGAAGCACTTCGCTCTCAAAGCCTTCCAATTGACCGTCAAAGAAGTGAACGTCCAAAAATGAAACAAATTTCTCTCCATATTGTTCTGTATTATCTGCGAGAATTCGAACTATAATTATATTGGAAATAAGTCGGAAAGCGAAGTGAATTTGCCATGGATAGCAGAGCAAATCAATACTGCAACATCAAAGTGTCTGGAGATAGAAGACTTACCATAGTCGGAGTACCATCCGGTTCAGGGAAGGCTATTATCCGTAAAAAGTTATTGAACTGCTACACAGAAGAATGATAAGATTTTGTTGTCAATATCCTGTAACCGTCCTTTCGATCAGGAGATAGTGGGCAATCGTCTTCTTGAAGTTTTAGTGCCAAGAGTGACAATCACCTATCCTTGAGTCTCAGAGTTTTGCGATGAATACGCAGATGGTTCGCCCTCGAGGTTACCGCCTTAGATTCCTTCCTGGTTCAGTCTTCGCTGCTTTCCCCGGGTAACATTTCTTCCTCTTGAAGTCCCCGTCCAGTTCAGGGGGTACCATTTCGTCCGGTTGAAGTTCCCGGTTCAGTTCCCATAGGGAACATACAAGTCTGCTCGGGACCTGACGAGATTGCCATCGAATCATCTTGGGGTAGATGCCCCTTGGAAGAGGTTTTGAACTTCTGACATACAAAGTTGGAAGATTTAATCCACCAGCCAGGCCACCCGGGCTGGGTCGGACTGCTAAGATCCAAAGTCAAAAGGGAAACAGCCCAGGTCGTTCCCGCGTGGATCCCGCCCGGGTCGACCACCGGGACTGACCGCCAGGCGGGCCAGCGCAAATTCGTAGGGGGTCTGTTTTGGACCCTTGGGGGCCTACCGGTAGGCGGACTCCTCTACTCGTGAAAAAGTACAAGGGCAGAAAAAGAACAAGGCAGAAAAGAAGTCGGGTGATGTCGGCCTCGCTTGGCGGCTGCACGAAGGAGTGCACAACGCCAGTGCTCCTCTTCACCAAGCAGTCCGCCCGGTGAGTTCGCCGTCTTGTTGCCCTCCCTCCTCCTTCTTTCTCCTCTTCTTCTTCTGGTTCTCCTCTGTCTTCTCCTGCTTTTTCTTCTTCTTCTTGCTCTTCTCTTCTTATCTTCTTGCTCTTCTCTTCTTTTCTTCTGCTCCTCCTACCCCTCCTTCCCCGCCTCCTTTCTTCTTCTGCACCTCCTCCTCCTTTTTCCCTTTCTTCTTCTGCACCTCCTCCGTCTTCTCCTCCTCCTCCTCCTCGTCTTCTTGTCTTCCTCCTCCTCCTCCTCCTCCTCCTCCTCCTCCTCGTCGTCCTTCTGCTCCCCTCCTTGAAAGATGACTGCCAAGTAACTGTGAGTCATCACACCCCAAGTTCATACCCCCTCCCCCTCCCCCTCCCCCTCCCCCTCCCCTTCCGCCTCCTCCCTCCTCTTCTTCTTTTTCTTCTTCTTCTTCTTCTTCTTCTTCTCCTCCTCCTCGTTCTGGCCACCCGTCATCTTGAACGGGTAATGCCAAGTAAGCGGGTGTTGGTGCCTGTGCGCGCCTGTCAGCCCGCGCTCGCGCGGGTGCGTGTGTCCGCAGTAGTGGGCGCCCAGTTCCCCTTACCTCCTGTGAGTCATCAGCAGGCGCTGATTACGTTGATGGGCCGCTCGAAAAGGCCAAGCAAGCCCGGGAAAGAACATCGGGATCGGGAGGGAGGGAGAAGAGGATCAGGTAGGAGAGCGGAGGCGGAGAGAGGACGTGGATCGTTGAGGGGAACGGGGACAAGTCCGGGCGGTTTGTCCTCCGAGGCAGCCATTTGAAATCGACAAAAAAAATAAAAAATAAAAAATAAAATAAAATTGGAACGATACAAAGAAGATTAATTACAGTAGCGTTCCTTTTTTTCGTCTTTTTTTTCCGTGTGTGCAAGGATGACACGAACAAATCGAAAAATTTCGGCGCGTCGCGTTCGGGAAAGAAGGAAAGGATAGTTTGAGGAGGGGAAAAGTGGGGGGAGAGGGGGGCAGAGGGGGGGTCTTAAACGGGGTCTTAAACGGGACTCCTGGAGGAGGGGAGGGAGAACGTAGAGGTCTCTTTTCCCGCCGGCATTGGCGGGGGAGGGAAAGAGCGTCGCGCAATCGCGCGGGAGCGATCCGCATCTGCAAAGTGGGAACGGAGGAGGAGGTTGGAGGAGGAGGAAGGGGATGGGGAAGACGGCCGGGATCGGTTGAGGGAAAACGGGTTGGGGGGAGAGAGGTGGGCACGGCGCAATCGGAAGAGAAAGGAGGAAAACACCGCGCTCTTGCAGAGGAGGAGGAAGATGGTCGGCGGGACAGAGATCACGCATCACGGAGACCGCCATCTGTCATTCTTCTTCTTGTATATCACTCCTCCTCCCCCTCCGCCTCCTCCTCCTTCTTCTCTTCTTCTGCTCTCCTCCTCCTCCTCCTCCTCCTTCTCCTCCTTTTGCTCCCCCTCCGCCTTGGACGAGGCACCGCGCTGATTACGCCTCCGACTGTTGCACACACTGCCTGTGGATCCTGTGGATCCTGCTGATCGAACGGTCGAGATCGGGATCGACGGGCGGCATTTTCAAGGTGCAAGGAAGTAATCAGCGCGAGCTGATCGTACACACGGTTTGTACTAGGCATCACCTGCAGTCGTCGTTTCCTGTGGGAGTAGGAGGGAGAGGAGAAGGAGGAGGAGGAGCAGGAGGGATAGAAGAGGAAGGAGGGTTTGAGATTGAGTCGAGGTTTTCCAATGGAGGACGAGGAGGAGGAGGAGGAGGGAGACGATGAGGAGGAGTGACAGAACAGAAAGAAGCTTGGCGTTGGCGTCGTCAGGACAAACTCGTTTTTTTTTTATTTCCTCCCCCCCCCCCAAACTCACGCAATCTCGTTTTAGGAATTAGTACTACTATTATAAGAGAGGGGGGGGGGGGGGGGGGTGCTCTTATCACCTTTCGTAGCGGTGGGACTGGTTATTGTTTTCAAAAAAAGAAGAAGAAAGAAAAATAAAATTGGTACTTCGTTTCAGGAAGAGTGTTGAGAGGTGCCAAGCATCCGATACGATCCATCCCCACCTTTCGATCCACTCCACCCCGAACGGATCATCCAATGCGATCCTATCCACGTCCTCGATCCCCGGATCGCTCGATTGCCCACCCATCAATCGTCGCACAAATCAAGCCCGACTGTCATCTGTTCAGGATGATGACGCGATGATGATGATGATGATGATGATGATGATGACGATTACGATAACGATAATCAATCGCGTGCGTTGGATAAGTCAGCTCTCTCTCTCCTTCTCTCTCTCTCCTTCTCTCTCTCTCTCTCAGTGTGCTACTTGCGCCTGCTGCACGTGCGTGCTATGTGGTTACTAACTGCATGCTGTGCTATGTGCTATGTACGTGCTGTGGTAAGTGCAGACTAAGATCGTGCTATGGTAAGTGCATGCTATGTTGATGCTATGTGCGTACTATGAGCGTGCTAAGGTCGTGCTTTGTGTGTGCCATGTGCGTGCTGTGTGCGTGCTTCTTGCACGGATAGTGTGCCATGTGCGTGCTATGAGCTATGTGCTATGTCCTATGTGCTATGTGCTGTGTGCTATGTGCGTGCTTCTTGCACAGGTAGTGTGCCATGTGCGTGCTAAGAGCGTGCTTCTTGCACCGGTAGTCTGTAGGTAACGAAGATCAACGGCCAATATCTCTTGATCCATGCAAGTGGGACCGTAATCCATGCTACTACCGTCTCTACCCGAATAGAACGCCCGGTCATTATAGCTGCATTTGGGCCAAGTTGCGGTCCAGATACGGTGATAATGACCGGGCGTTTGGGTGAAGACGGTAGCGCGACCGATGGGACCAGCAGTGGTACCAGTTTACAAGTGGGACCAGTGGGCCCCGCAGTGATAGCAGCAGTGGGACCAGCAGTGGTACCAGTGAGGCCAGCAGCGAGACCAGTGGTCCTACCGAGCGGTTCCACTGTGCCCACCAGTGGGACTAGCAGTGGTACCCGTGGGACCCGCAGTGTTAGCAGCAGGGGGATCAGCGGGACCAGAAGTGGAACCAGTCCTACTACTGGTAGTGGGACGGGCTGTAGTACAAGTGGGACCAGCGGTGGGACCAGCAGTGAGACCAGTGGTACCAGCAATTCCAGTGGGGCCAGCAGAGGGCCCAGTGGGCCCAGTGGAACCAGTGATCTAGTGGGACCAGCGAGACCTTACCGGGCTCACTTGCGTGGTTCAGGAAATGCACTGGCCGTTGATCTTCGTTATCCAACGGAAATCTCTCTTAACCCATGCCCATGGGACCAGCAGTGGGACCAGCAATGGGACCAGCAGTGGGTCCAGCAATGGGACCAGCAGTGGGTCCAGCAATGGGACCACTTGGCCCCTCGGGTTTCAGATCCTCCGTTGGTATACGGATGATGCCTCTGTTGGCCCCTTTGGAGGCAAAATGCAGCTCCTTCTCCACTGAGGGCACATTCACACTAGGATTGTTTTATCAAGTTATCTGTGGACGTAATCGAGGTCAGATGCATTCACTCCTGGCCGTAATATCGGTCAGATGCATGGAGGAAATTCCCAGTGTGAGTATGGCCTGAGGCGTCCCTTTTCCCCCTTCTCGAAATTCATTTGGGAATTCATTTGGATATTGATTTGGAAATTTGTTTTGGAAATCAATTCCCGGCTACATTCCATGGCATACGTCCTTTTTTTTTGTACGTCCTCCTTTGGGCTTGGCAAATTGCTTATCTTTTTTTTTTTTTTTTTTTTTTTTTTTTAATTTCCCACCATTTCTTTTTTATCAACTTTTATGCATGGCCATGTTGGGGATGGAATGCTGGTATTTTTTTTTTCTGTTTTTTTTTTTTTTTTACCCCTCCATTTCTGTATTATGAACTTTTATGCATGGCCATGTTGGGGATGGAATGCTGGTATTCCGTATTTCTGTTTTTTTTTTTTTTATTATTTTTATTTTCCCTCCATTTCTGTATTGTCAACTTTTATGGACGGCCATGTTGGGGATGGAATGCTGGTTCTCCACTGCTAAGGCATACTCACACTGGGACTTTCTTCTGCGTCTCTAACCCAATACAGTGGCCAGATTCATTCAAAATAGCCCGAGTGTGAATCATGCTGAAGATGCCGTGAGAGAGCAGAGAAAGTTTTCCTCCATAGTTCGATCACCGACGGTTCTTTCTTTTTGAAATAACTACCTCCCAGGTACCGTATGGAGTTCCAAATTCGCCCAGTTTGAAATAACAGCCCACTGCAATTCCTTTTTTTTTTGCAATTTGAACCTAATGCAGTTCGGAACTGGGAAAAAAAAAACCAGGTACCTTTGCAGTTCTGCCTGGTTGGAACTTGGAAGTTTGTAATTGGTAAAATCAGGTGGCAAAAAAAAAATAAAAAAATAAAAAAATCAGGTGGCTACTCGGTGTTGCTTCTTTTTTTTTTTTTTTTTTTTTNTTGTTTTTCCCTAGGCTACCTGTCGGGCCGCCCGGGTCCCCAGTGGCCAGCCCGTGCAAGGACCAGGGAAGGTCCCAGCCAAAAAAAAAAAAAGAAGAAAAAAATCCAAAAAATCCGAAAAACCCGTGGAAGGTCCCAGCCAAAAAAAAAAAAAAAAAAATCCAAAAAATCCGAAAAAAAGCTATGCAGAGAAATAAACTGAACAACTTTTGCCTCAGGGTCACATCAAAATTCTTCACCAAATTTAGAATAAAAACTAAAATTTAAAAATGATGTTTTTATTTTTAATTATTTATATATTTTTTGGCCCGGCCGGGCAAGTGACCCCGGGCCACTCTGGTAGCCTAGGTTTTCCCTCTTTTTTTTTCCGTTTTTTTTCCGTTTTTTTTCTATTTTCTTTTATTTTCTATTTTTTTTCGTTTTTTGTTTCTTTTTGAATTTTTTTTTTTGTTCTTTTTCTCATTAAAAAAATTAACTATTTTTTTTCGTTTTTTTCCCTCCTTTTTTTCCCTTGTTTTTCCCTTTTTTTTGTTTTTTATTTTTGTTTATTTTTGTTTTTTTTTGTTCCCCACTCCTGCGGCCGGGCCACGGTCAAGATGCCTAGGCCACGCCCGGTCCAGATGTCTAGGCGACGCCCATGGCTGGGCCACGGCCGAGATGTCTAGGGCACACCTGTGGCTGGGCAGAGATGTCTCGGCCACACCTGTGGCTCAGCCACGGCCGAGATGTCTAGGGCACACCTGCGGCTGGGCCGAGATGTCTAGGCCACACCTGTGGCTGGGCCAGGCCACGGCCACCGGGAAACCGTACCGGTACCTCCCGTTTTTGCCAATTGTTAAACTGGCAGGCCATCGAAGGCATCATTTACTGTTTTTTTTTTTGCGGTTTGGAACTGCACGAGGCCCAAACTTGCAGTGTACTGTTATTTCTGCCAAATCGGGGGTCTGCACGGGTCACAGGCGCAGTTGTCGCTTCTTTTTTTAAAATTATTTTCTGAAGGATCAGATATATCAAGCCGATCAGGAAAAAACTGGACTTGATCTTTGATAAAAGGCCGAGAAAGGCATCACCACCCGGCTACTTTCTTCCCCCGACCACAACACACCCTACCGTCGCTGATCTGACATCTGGGGGGACTGCTGTTGCGGTAGGGAGCGTTTCCTTGCAGAGGCCACCATAACCAGCAGAATACAGCTTAAACCACCAGTACTTGGCCCAGCTATCGGCCGTGGACAAAAATAGAGTAGAGACGTTTCTAGTCGGATGAATTTGGGCGCTCCTGTAGTGGCCTGTTCGTTTCCGAAAAACGTGGCTTGGCTTGTATACCGGGACGAGTTAGGAACTACTGGTGGTTACTGGTGGTTTAAACCACTAGTACTTGGCCCAGCTATCGGCCCCGGAAAAGAAAAGAAGAGTAGAATCGTTTCTAGTCGGATGAATTTCGGCGCTCCTGTAGTGGCCTGTACGTTTCCGAAAATGGTGGCTTGTATACGGGCACGACTTTAGGAAGTACTGGTGGTTTAAGCTGTGAGTCAACCCTGCTGTCATTTCCAAACGAAATGACTGAATGAACGCAAGCTGTAGCCGTTACCCAAGGCATCAACGATGCATTTTCTATGGGATCATAAAACTACCAACCGCCCCAACCTAGCTCACGATAAGCCCACCAACTTCCCACTAGTATTTCTACCGTTAAAACGCACCAGCACGTTAAAATCCAAATTCGTATCACTTTCAAATAGGCACTTCCAAGCGGTCGCGTGATGGTGCGAAGCATAGAGTTTTAAAGCCTTGGCAGCAGGAAACTCTTCCTCGCAGAGGTCCTCAAGGAATCACACCATAGCTATCAGACTCTCCAACAACTTACATACGTATGCTTTACATGTTCACCTGTGTCGGTTTGGGGTATGGTTGGTCCAATCAATGCAAAATTGATTCTAGATGCCCTTTGTCCTGGAAATTGAGGCTTCGTTCAATCATTCAATTTTGTTTGATTCAGCAGCGCAGCTACTAGCGCTAGCTTCATTCAAATTTCATCATTTTGCAGAACCCATTTGCGCTACCTATGGTTGGTCAAATCAATGCAAAATTGATTCTAGATGCCATTTGTCCTGGAAATTGAGGCTTTGTTCAATCATTCAATTTTGTTTGATTCAGTAGCGCAGCTACTAGCGCTAGCTTAATTCAAATTTCGTCATTTTCGAGAACCCATTTGCGCTACCTTCTTCCGCCGAATACAACGTACGGTCATTATAGCTGTATCTAGACTGAAAGATGCCTCAAATACAGCTATAATGACCGTACGTTGTATTCGGGGGAAAAAGGTAGCTGTGAATGAGACACACCTCCCTTACCAACAAAACACTTTTTCTCTTCTGAATGGATCAGGCACACCACCGATGGATTAGGCGGACCCCCAATGGATAAGGAGGACCACATGACCGACGAGTCATTCTTCTTCTCGATGAATCTACCCGCGGATATCTTTTTTGGCTGTGTTTGAGGATCGAAGTTTGCGGGGGGGTGGGGTTGGTGGGTGGGCGGTTGTGACGTTTTTTGTGTTGGGGGCAGGTTTGCGCATTGGAGGAGCAATAACCACTTCTTGCTGGTGGGCAAACGTGCCCGGAGTTTGAGCTGGAATCTCCCCCACTGAACTCGCAACGCCCGGACACCTTGTTCGTGATCTCGGTCTCGAACCCTCGAGACCTGCTGAATTGGACGGCTCGGCATTTTCAGAGGTGTTGCTTGTGCATTGTGGGAGCGAATGCTGCTTTCTCGCGGACAAATGCACTGGAAGGTTGCACTGGGAATGGTTCGACTTGGCGTGTCTCTCGCAATGACCCTGCAGTGATCTGGGGGCTGGGTTTTGAACCGTTGACCCGCTGAACTGGATCGTTTGGTATTTTGAAAGGCAGCACTTTGCAAAAGCCATCGAAACAAAACGGATAACGTTGCAGGTAGACAAGATGAAAGTCGTAGCGCTTGTGAGCGGTGGCAAGGACAGCTGTTACAACATGATGCAGTGCCGGAAGTACGGCCACGAGATCGTCGCATTAGCGAATCTGCTCCCGTGCAATGAAGACGTGGACGAACTGGATAGCTACATGTACCAGACTGTTGGGCATCAGCTGGTCGCAACTTACGCCGAATGTATGGGGCTGCCGTTATTTCGCAAGCGAATCACTGGAAAGACTCGGTCAAAGGGCCTGATATACCAGAGAACCGACGGCGATGAAGTAGAGGACATGGAGATTTTGTTGAGGGAAGTGAAACGAAGGTTTCCTTGTGTCGAGGCGGTCTCAACAGGCGCGATCGCCTCCGATTACCAGCGTCTGCGAGTGGAGAATGTCTGCTCCCGGCTTGGGTTAGTGTCCTTGGCTTTCCTGTGGAAGAGGAATCAGGACGAACTGCTTCAGGAGATGATTGACGGCGGTATCCATGCTGTCTTGGTCAAGGTGGCAGTACTGGGGCTCAATCCGAAGACTCACTTGGGCAAAGACCTCGCAAGCATGAAACCGCATTTGGATCGCCTTGCAGAATTATACGGTATAAATGTGTGCGGAGAGGGAGGAGAGTACGAGACGTTGACTCTCGACTGCCCTCTGTTCAAATCTGCAAGAATCGTGATTGATGAGTACGAGATCCGCCTCCATTCCCTCGATAGCATCTCATCAGTCGGCGTTCTTCATCCGAAGAGCTTCCACGTGGAGCACAAGCAGGCAGTTTGCGGGGGTGCCGAGAACGCTGAGGCATCTCCGAATGATGCACAAAGCAGATGTGGGTTTCCAACCCTCGACCTGATTGAGGAGGCCCACAGTCAGGTCATTGATGTAGATAACCTTAGTATCGCGACGGAGGAAGGCCATCGGGTGAACGCAGCCCCTGCAGACCCTGCGGGGTCTGCGATTGGTAGTGGAACTGAGGCGGAAAGGGGTGGAGGAGTATGTGGTAATGATGACGGTGGTGGTGTGATGGAGGTGCTCAGCTGGAAGCAGAGCTCAGGGTATACTCTCATTCGGAGTCGCCGACGCAAGCACAAGGAGGGGGACAAGTTATCGAGTGTGGACGACTCTGAAGCGACGAAACAGGATTTGGCAAATGCTCTCCGACTGATTGAGCACGAGTTGCAGGCCTGCGACCTTGGGTGGAAGCATGTCCTTTACATTCATCTGTATTTGGCCGATATGCGTCATTTTGTGCCGGCAAACGAGGTATACAAGGCCGTGATAACGGAGGGGAAATGCACCCAGGGCGTGCCATCGAGATGCACTGTAGAGGTGCCGCTCAAGGCTGCTGGTGGGGGCAATGTCATGGTGGACGTGCTGGCTGCAAACGACGAAAGCAAACGGGTCCTTCACGTGCAGAGCATATCTCCTTGGGCTCCGTCGTGCATCGGGCCGTACAGTCAGGCTACGTTGCATGGAGGTGTCCTCCACATGGCCGGTCAGATACCACTGGATCCGGCATCGATGGTGATCGTGAAAGGTGGGCCGCGTGTGGAAATGGCGAGGGCTCTCCTGAGCTGCGAAGCTGTTGCAGAGACCTTTGGAGTGTCCCTGCGCCGTCAACTGTTGTGCTGCACAGTTTACTGCGCAAGTGCTGCTGGTGCGAATGGTCGTGAAGAGATGGAAGCAGAGCTCAGAGGCTTCCTTCACGGTGTTGATTCCGCTGATGGTCCGCATGCAACGACCGATTACAAGGTCGGGAAACCTTCAAACTGTGAACCGTTGATTCGCTACGTTGTCGTTTCTGGTCTTCCAAAAGCTGCACTAGTGGAAGTGCAGCCCGTCCTTGTTACGCTGGCCGAAGCGACCAGTGTCCATAGCAAAATCCAGGAGGAGGAGGAGGAGGAGGAGGAGGAGGAGGAGCGTATAAAAAGCTGGGCTCTTCGTCGGATCAACATACCGTCATCGGTGGTACGAAGCTCCGATGCTGATGGGACCACCGTCAGGTTGTGGAAAAGTGGAGACGATGGGACAGAGCGTGTTGAGGTGGTGGACTCCGACTCCATCCTCGAAAGCCACAGCAATGCCACCACAAGAGTCACGGAGATCAGTTGCCAAGGCATTGCTGCTGGACGGGAAGTGGTTTGTGCCGTTGCATTCGCACGCGAGCGGTGTCTTGAAGAGGCGGCGGCAGTGGCAGTGTCTCCCCAAAGCGAGAGGAGTTCTGCAGGTGCCGACCCCAATGAGTGTGAGTGTCCATCCCGACACCCAAGGAACTCGGCACATCTATGGAGAACATCCATTCATAGCTGTGTGGAGAAGCTGGGGAGAGCACTCGTAGAATCGGGCTTCCGATGGGCTGACGTCACTGTCATTAGGGTGTATTTTGTTGCAAGACATCTTGAACTCAGAGATTTGGAAACAGCCTTGACCTCATCGATTAGCTCCATTGCGTGTGCGAGAGACCATTGCGAAAATGGGAATGTGATCGAAGGAGAGAGTGGAATTGAGAGAAGTGGTGGTAACTCCTCCTTGCAGCAGTTGCCTGCGAAGGAGAAATGTCTCCCGCCATCAACTCTCCCTACTGCCGTGCTTGTCCCTGTGGAGGCTGTGGGACTTAACGCTTCCGCTGATGCGCAACTGGCCATTGAGATTACAGCTAATGCACCAAGGTAAAAAAACCGTGTTGTTGCAAAACGGCCTTCGAAGTCTTGATTGGATTCCTCTTTTTGATGACTGCATTTCAGTTTTTTCCACACTTGCAACTGCACCGTGGCCCATACCGTCTGGTGCACGGCACGGCCTGCGGTGCGCCACCTGCTCGTGCCCCGGTGCAGTGGCAGTTTCCCTTTTTTTGTTTTTTATTTGCTGTTTTTGTAGATACAGAAGAGTGCAATAAACACCTAAGGAACTGATCTTTTCAAGTACAGTCGTATTGGGCATGAGAAATAGCCTTAAAAAAAGGGTGTCTGGGACATCAGTCTTGGCCTTTAGGTAGTGGCATTACCCTCCCACTGTTCCCTTCCTCCCCCCCCCCCCCCCCC